CAAAAAAAGTGGTATCATACTTACAAAACTGTCATGAATGTTGAGCCATCATCCTGGGTACATAAGGGTGGATTGAGCCCAGGCTGCCCACCCTTACTGTTCTATAGGTCCACTGTTCATCAAGTCTTTAGTCACAATAAAATCAAATATGTGCAGGCCTTCTCCTCATTAGGTGACTGGAAAACAATAAAAATGCGCACTCACCGACCGCACATTTTAAATGCGCCTGTGTGTAATCTTATCCAGAGGACCAGCCAAGCATGCAGCCCCAGAACACATATGGATCCTCCCTCTCAAGTACTGACATCAACCTTGGGTGTAGTAATACCTCCAGATCCAGAGACCCTCTCGCCCCAAATAATAGGCAGACAGGGATCCCCCTCGTGACTCCAGGCACCCCAAAACCGAAGGTGTAGATCTGCAACCCTCCAACAGGAGAGTCAAGGAAAGAAAGGGGAACGCCAATAGTGTGGTAGGTTCAAAACTTTATTGTAGCAACACTCATAAAGCCAGGGTCACATATACATTACATACACTATTAGCCAGTAAGCGGACAGGTAAGTATGAAAAAATAGGTACTAACCCGGCAGTGGTATAGATTGGAGACCACTGGACCTCCTCGTGGTCTCAGTGGTCAGGAAGTCACACTTGCTAATGGCTCCTCCTGAGGCCTTTCGTGCCAAATGCACTTCATCAGAGGATGGACGCCACTGATGAAGTCCATCCTGGAGCTGCATGCTTGGCTGGTCCTCTGGATAAGATTACACACAGGCGCATTTAAAATGTGCGGTCGGTGAGTGCGCATTTTTATTGTTTTCCAGTCACCTAATGAGGAGAAGGCCTGCACATATTTGATTTTATCGTGACTAAAGACTTGATGAACTATTTTTAATGAAATCACATTACAGCGCTGCACTATATATATATATACTATATTTCTGTTATGAGGTCCGATGATTCCTTGAAGTGTTCCAGCTGCTGATTTCTCTGAGCGCTCGCTATATATCTACTATTTTAAATATAGGTCCACTGTTGCAGTGGGCAAACTGGGAGATTGCTTAGGGTCCCCTGCATGCCAGATGGGTCCACAGAATCAAAATTTCTTGTTCTCCTGTAAGCCTTCCTAGGCAGCAAATGATGTCTCCTGACTGGCCAAGAAAGGTGTGCAAGCAGGTGGCATGCATCATTGGCACAACAAATAGCACTAATAAAGTATAGTCAGTCCTTATAGTGGTCATCACTGCCCACAACGTGTTTTTGAGAACATTGATAGGAGCATTTTCTTTACAGGTAGTGACAGTGGGCTCTCTGTGGGTAGTAGCAGAGGCAGCTGCTATAAAAGTGGGTATGCATGGATTGAAATTCAGCTGGTTCAGGAGGAACCAGACAAATTTTGATCTCGGTGTGGCCCTCCCTTTTCAACAGACGTCGATCAGTAGATCTGCTACTGTCGAATGGCCACGCTGGAGAACTTTCCTTTTGGAGTCTTTCACTTACTTTTCTGGAATTGCTCTTTCCTTGGAGGAGGAAGCAATATCTTGCTGGCCCAGCTATCTAGGGCACAACTCCGTAGAAACAGGTAAGTGGTCTCTTAGCAATCCTTCTACTGGTAAATTGTTATTTGCTAACATGACATGGCCCTATAGTTGTGTGAGTGTGTGTGTGTGTTATACTGCCTGAAAAGCTATTTTGTACTTGCCATACAACAAATCTTATTATCAAACTTCTCAAAACGTCTTTACTTTCCATAATGTGACAACCATATACATTGTATCTTTGGGCACCTTCCTGCTATTTTCACTCCAGAGCCAACAGTCTCTGTAGACAAGTTCATGGTTGTGTCAGTACGAAGATATATATCATGATGTAACTAACAATGGTATTACCTTGTGTGAAAATTCTTGAACGACAAAGGCAAGCATTATTTCTTGTATTTCTGTGTTCGTTGCCACCTTCTTCCAAGTCCTTTGGTTCTTATCATGCTTGTGCTTTTCTATTCAATTATTTACCCACAATTACTGTACACATTGACAAGAATCAGACGATGTGTTCTCATACCATAAAAATGTTCTAGCTTGCACCTTTGGTCTTTTTTCTTCTGAATAGTCGGAATCATCTGTTGGAAGCACTATACTAGCGAACAGATAATCAACCAATTGTTCCTCATACAGAATTTCTCTTCTGATTTTTTACAATGATTCTGATTGTAGCTCTGTAGACATGTTTCTGGTTGTCTTACTATGATACGGATTGAAGCCTACAAACATGACTTTAAAAAAAGTGAATTTAAACAACAAAATTGAAAAAATTAACAAAGTCTGAACACTTTATGAATGCCCTGTACCTGTGAATGATAGTTAATATAAGCAATAAAGTAAATACCATTCCTATGCATACATTTTTCCCAAAATCAGTTTATTTTGTTTTCCAATGTTTAATGGAATGCATCTAGTACTATTTCTTCATGTTAATGATATTTTTATGGAACACAATATATGCCCTTTGTGTGTGTGTTGGGAAGGCAGTGAACAAATCTGTTGTTGGAGGGCATTGGGTAGCTGCCCTAATGGAGAAAATTGGTATAAATCTGCCTCTTTTTCAGTGATTCATCTGCAGGGCAGGCTCTGACTAGTGTGGTGACCTTGCTGTGTCTAAGCCAGTGTTTCTCAACTCCAGTCCTCATGGACCCCCAACAGGTCATGTTTTCAGGATTTCCCTCAGATGAAACAGCTGTGGTAATTACTAAGGCAGTGAAACTGATCAAATCACCTGTGCAAAATAATGGAAATCCTGAAAACATGACCTGTTGGGGGTCCATGAGGACTGGAGTTGAGAAACACTGGTCTAAGCCTATTCCGTTCCAAAAGTGGGAAGAACATTTTCTGTATTGAAGCCAGCAGCCAGAGGACCACCATTCAGGTCCTGGAAGCATTCTGTGCTGTACATTCAACACAGAGCTACTGCAAGGCAGCTCAACCTCCTCAAATGGTTCAGTCTCCCTGGTACATTTATCAAATACATATTTAAAAAAAAAAACTGTTTAATGGACTACTACCAGCCAAAAATAACACAATTTATAATACAAATTATAAATACTCATGCAAGTAAAAAGAACATATAGACATGTGTTCCCACAAAACGTCTGTTTATTCATAGAAAACAATTAAAACACCAATTAAAAACACGTCAGACTGCTGAATGCCTGAAACTAGAGAACTGCAGTCACTGCATTCACAAGCTCTTATCATATGATGATAGGTTATTTGGCTTGTGTCCAATTTGACCATATTAAGTGTGTGCGTGTGTGCATGTGATATATGAACCCTAGATTGTAATCTCCTTGAGGGCCTGGACTGATGTGAACGTACTGTATGTAATTGCTGCCTACATTGTTGGTGCTATAAAAATATCTGTATTAAAATAATCAAATATTGTTTCATACACATAATATGGTAAATAAAGAGCATTCATAAAGTCTTAAAATAGTATCCTTTGGTGGACTTCCATTACAAAAAAGAAAAAAAAAATATAAGGAGGCAGGACTCCTCACACTTTTGACCGGGTATGGTGCTGGAAGTGACATCTACTCTCTAGATGTTGCTCCTCATATTGGCAGCACGCACAGCAGAGTATATGCAAACAAGGGGTGGGGGGTGGATGTTACAGAAATTTCTTTAACAGAGAAAAATTTCTTTTGCAGTCCTGTAATAAGATATTTATAGTTTATTCTGCCCCACACATACAATATCTTTCAAAGCAATGATGACTGATAACATGCATGTTGTGCGTTTTTACCTGAATGCTCAATGAGATGTCTCACTCCTTTACCGTGCCTTAGTTCTCTGTTTACTGTGCTCCTGTAAAATTTCATAAAACCCAATAAAATTCTTTGTGAATCAAATAATAGCTGGCATTCCAAGAGACAATTTTTGACCTAACAATGTCTGCTTGGAGAGCAGATGAGTATAGACGTGTGGTCTCCATTTATTTCAGTATGGTCTTTATGACAGTGAAACTGTACTGGAATTACACACCCAGACATTACACAGGAGTTTAGGAGTATGGAGAAACACTGGAGGGGTGGCTGTGGGGGGGGTGTTGGCATGTCAGGTGAGCAGGTTCCAGCTATGATTTCTAATGGTGGTACAGGTATCAATGGGGAGGTGGGCACAGAAATGTTGGGGCTATTGTTACTTGCACAAGACAGACTTGGCTTGCCGAAATGTGAGAGAGGTGAATATTCTGCCTCTCCAATCTGCAAATGGAATCTCTAACTGGTCCAGTGAACGAGATGTCTTACAACCTCTGTAGAATTAGCAGACACTGACTCGATCCAAATGACATCCAGCAAATCATAGAAGGTTTTTTCTCCAAAACTTGTGAAGATCATACAGATGAACATCGGATAGGTCAAAAAATCAATAAAGAAGTATACGGTTGTATACTATCCTGCGTGCCGACCATCACTGTTTCTACAATAAAATCATGACGTGTATAGCTCCAGCTGAATACAGTACATGTGGGGAACAAAAATGAAGACTAAGTATGAAGAAGGGAGGGACTAACTATATAAAACATGCCCTAGCTACAGAGTGAGGAAGGGACAAAATAATTTTAAGGCAAACACACAAACAATGCATGTTTTGACATGGTAGTGATTTTTGCTCCATTTTACATAGAGGCAGCTGTCAATACAGTCAGATTAGCTGCTACAATCCCATACAGTGCCAGCTTTGCCTAACAATAACCCCGGCATTCCAATGCCTGCCTCCCCATCTGCAATAGCTATATCACCCTGCTGGGGAAAACCCTAAGCCCAAAACTACAGAACAAGTGCTTTCCATTTTAACTGTTGCTTTAACCTCCCTGGCGGTATTCCCGAGTGTAGCTCGGGGTAAAGTTTCAGTACCAAAAGCAGTAACCCCGAGCTACACTCGGGCTTACCATGCGGCGCTGCTCAGGGATTCCCTGCAGCGCTTACCTTGTCCTTCGCTCCCGCGATGTGTCCCCTGCAGTGTCCCCAGCCATCTCCTCCAGCCGATGCCGGCATCCAGGTTCCGTGTTCTTCCTGTCCGTGCGAGCGTCAGGACGTATGGGGGCTGGAACTGGCGGCAAATTTAAAAATTTTAGAAACTGTAATTTTCTAATAAATGAATATGACACAGTAAAACATTACTGTTTCAAAGCATTTCACACACATTTTGTCCCTAGTGCTTTGTCCTGTGCCCTGCCTGCATTTTGACTGTTCTTTCTGCCTGGAAACTTAGAAAAGTCCATGGCGTCCAAAAAGCGTCGCTTTAGGTCAAAAGCGGTTTTAGACCAGCTAGAGAACAGTGATAGTAAATTAGAACTACTTGCAGAATTGAGTGATAATGATTCGTGGGGAAATTCTTCATCAGACACTGAAAACCATTCTGTGACTTTGCTCAGCGATGTGCAAACTTGGCGCTATATTTCAAATTTCAGTGTTTTTGGTGGTTTGATTATATTATTGAATTACATTTATTATTATTATATTATTATTTTTTTTATGATTATTTTATTAAATTATAATTTATGATTTCGTTTTTCAAGTTTTATCATATCCGGGATGTTTACTACTAGACTTCAGTTATGTAGGTTTTTTATAGCCTGGCTCGGACTAGAACTGGTTTAAATTACTTGTTCGGACAGATTTCAGTGAGTTATTCCTAAAAATTACAGGCCTACAATTAAAAAAAATACATATTTCCATGCAAAAAAATGTACCGCTTTCAGCACAGAAATACTGGACATAATCATATCGCTAGGGAGGTTAACTATGTGTCTTTCTGCTATCTGTACAGTGATATGTAGGTTTTATAGCACTGGCTCTGCGTTCTGGTTGAGATTTGTCCAGACCTGGTTTAGATGATCTTACACTGCAGATATGCAATTATGAGGTTAGGAACAGCAGTCACACATCAGGAAGTATGCTTCTATCTTTCAGGAGAGGGAGGCTAGCTGCTTGACCTGGGAATTTAGACCCAATGGGGGAGATCTACTAAAACTGGAGCACCAGAAATCTGGTGCAGCTGTGCATGGTAGCCTATCAGCTTATAACTTCAGCTTGTTCAAATAAGATTTGGCAATAAAACCTGGAAGCTGATTGGTTTCTATGCAGAGCTGCACAAGATTTAGCACTCTCCAGTTTTAGTAAAAAACCCCCAGAGTTCTCAATGTCAGCATTCCTCAAAGATAAAAGGCTGAACTCTCTGGCATCTGCCCAAAACTGATATATAATTTTTGGGTTGATTTGACCTTTTAAAGGTTATTATAACTAGCTTCAGATTGATAGTTTTAACCCCCTGGTTAGGTATATTAACACGCCTACATTTTAGTCAGTTTAATCATCTGAAAAAAAAAATGCAGTAGCTGTATACGTTAAGGTATAAAAACATTCTTGGTAAGAAAATGATTTAACATGCTTCTCAAGGTGGAGATTGCAGGCAGCTCTCAACGTCTTTGATAGTCCATGGGTAATCTTTTTTTTTCCTGGAAGCTGCACAGTTTCAGTGATAGCATGGGTTTTCTGTACTGAGGCTAACAAAAGAACGCACGGTAAGCATGCATTTAGAAATCCATGGAATTGGCTCTGCACTAATTGCTAATATGAGGGAGGTAAAAGTAATTCTTGGCGTGGGTTGGTACTGTAAACACGGGCCACACACAAGAAAAAATATATCTGTATTTACTGTAGATTATAGTTGATTCACCATAATTTTTTGCTTAAAATTGTTGTAGTAATGCTTTTTAAAAAGATATTGTCAGTGTGGTTTCCGATGATTGAACGCTGTTTAAATGATCTCTGTTTTTCTTACTGTGGTTGGCCCAAATTTGTATCCCATAAGGTGGTGTATTTTGGCCTGCAATGCCATCGATTTTAGTGAACTAATTAAGTATGCCTGCAGCATGCATGATTCTTTGCCCAAGCTGGAACACAGCTGCACTGCTACTCCTGTGTGTGCACAAGGCTTTATACAGGGACTATATTATACTAGGTGTTTTTTATATTCCTTTTTAGATTTCTCAAGATTTTATTTACTTTTGCAGATACTGTTTGGCATGGAATGCTACTTAGCTTGCTGTGTATACCCAAGCCCCACATACAAGGCATTCTATGATTTTCTAGAAAGGACATTGATCTCTACCATATTTTCCTACACCCTTGTATACATTTATCTCAGACTAAACTGTTAAAAGACTTTTATTCTGAAGTGGGCCAGAAGAGGGCACTTGAACTTATTCATGGTATAGGTCAGCAGAGGGTACTTGACCTTTCTCATGGTATAGGTCAGCAGAGGGAACTTGACCTTATTCATGGTATAGGTCAGCAGTGGGCCCTTGAACTTATTCATGATATAGATCAGTGGAGGGCACTTGACCCTATTCATGGTATAGGTCAGCAGTGGGCCCTTGAACTTATTCATGATCTAGGTCAGCAGAGGGCACTTGACCTTATTCATGGTATAGGTCAGCAGAGGGCACTTGACCTTATTCATGGTATAGGTCAGCAGAGGGCACTTGACCTTTTTCATGGTATAGGTCAGCAGAAGGCACTTGACCTTATTCATGGTATAGGTCAGCAGAGGGCACTTGACCTTATTCATGGTATAGGTCAGCAGAGGGCACTTGACCTTATTCATGGTATAGGTCAGCAGAGGGCACTTGACCTTATTCATGGTATAGGTCAGCAGAGGGCACTTGACCTTATTCATGGTATAGGTCAGCAGAGGGCACTTGACCTTATTCATGGTATAGGTCAGCAGAGGGCACTTGACCTTATTCATGGTATAGGTCAGCAGAGGGCACTTGAGCTTATTCATAATATAGGTTGGCAGAGGGCACTTGACCTTATTCATAATATAGGTTGGCAGAGGGCCGTTGAACTTATTCATGATATCGATCAGCAATGGACACGTGACACTATTCATGATATAGATCAGCAGATGACAATTGACCCTATTCATGGCATAGGTCGGCAGAGAGCACTTGACCTTATTCATGGTATAGGTCGGCAGAGGGCACTTGACCTTTTTCATGGTATAGGTCAGCAGAGGGCACTTACTCATGGTATGGGTCAGCAGATGGCCCTTGAGCTTATTCATGATCTAGGTCAGCAGAGGGCACTTGACCCTGTTCATGGTATAGGTCTCCAGAGGGCACTTGACCTTTTTTATGGTATAGGTCAGCAGAGGGCACTTGACCTTTTTCATGGTATAGGTTGGCAGAGAGTACTTGACCTTATTCATGGTATAGGTCAGCAGTGGGCCCTTGAACTTATTCATGATATAGATCAGTGGAGGGCACTTGACCCTATTCATGGTATAGGTCAGCAGTGGGCCCTTGAACTTATTCATGATCTAGGTCAGCAGAGGGCACTTGACCTTATTCATGGTATAGGTCAGCAGAGGGCACTTGACTTTATTCATGGTATAGGTCGTCAGAGGGCACTTGACCTTACTCATGGTATAGGTCAGCAGAGGGCACTTGACCTTTTTCATGGTATAGGTCAGCAGAGGGCACTTGACCCTACTCATGGCATAGGTTAGCAGAGGGCACTTACTCATGGTATGGGTCAGCAGATGGCCCTTGAGCTTATTCATGATCTAGGTCAGCAGAGGGCACTTGATCCTATATATGGTATAGGTCAGCAGAGGACACTTGACCTTATTCATGGTATAGGTCGGCAGAGGTCACTTGACCTTTTTCATGGTATAGGTCAGCAGAGGGCACCTGACCTTTTTCATGGTATAGGTCGGCAGAGGGCACTTGACCTTACTCATGCTATGGGTCAGCAGACGGCCCTTGAGCTTATTCATGATCAGGTCAGCAGAGGGCACTTGATTCTATTTATGGTATAGGTCAGCAGAGGGCACTTGACCTTATTCATGGTATAGGTCGGCAGAGGTCACTTGACCTTTTTCATGGTATAGGTCGGCAGAGGGCACTTGACCTTACTCATGGTATAGGTTGGCAGAGGGCACTTGACCTTACTCATGCTATGGGTCCGCAGACGGCCCTTGAGCTTATTCATGATCAGGTCAGCAGAGGGCACTTGACCTTACTCATGGTATAGGTCAGCAGAGGGCCCTTGAGCTTATTCATGATCTAGGTCAGCAGAGGGCACTTGACCCTATTCATGGTATATAGGTCTGCAGAGGGCACATGACTTTTTTCATGATATAGATCAGCAGAGGACACTTTAACCTATTCACGGTATAGGTCAGTAGAGCGCACTTGACCTTATTTATGGTATAGGTCAGCAGAGGGCAATTGACCTTTTTCATGGTATAGGTCAGCAGAGGGCACTTGACCTTTTTCATGGTATAGGTCAGCAGATGGCCCTTGAACTTATTCATGATCTAGGTCAGCGGAGGGCACTTTACCTTTTTCATGAAAAAAGAAACCATCCTCCTGCGCAGCCAAATGGCTGTAATCCCCACTAAATGGCTGCAGACAACTAAATTCCAAAAAGTGAAATTGATAAATGAATAGTAGATTGGTGCTGCGTTACTCAGTGCATAAATATCAATAAACAATAAACATATACATAAATGTATTGAATATAATGAAGTGTTAATATGAAATATACTCCATCCCCAAGTATGAAGATGGAAAAATAATAAAACAACAGTAGCGTTCAGCAGAGGACACTTGACGTTAGCTATGACATAGGTAATGTGGCCATAAATACATAAAGCAATATAAAATTTGAACATTTCGTACATTGATACGAAGCCAGTAGGCGGAGTTCTTTATTTTAATATGTATTCAAGGCTTTTGTAACCTCTTATGTTAAAAAAAAAAAAAAAGGAAATAATGGCTAAATGTAAACACACAACAAAAAAGATTATCTGCCTTCTACCTTGTCCCATCAGACAGCCCGATACGAAGTTTCAGTTAGACTTAGTAACTGAAAGGAAATAGCTTCTGCTGTGTTCTGGGAATCCTTTATTATGAGCACCCCTTGCAAATGTTTAGTTTGTTAAACAACTATTATAAATAAAATGATTAAAAATCAGTTTAAAAATATAAATCATAAAAAAAAAAAATGTAAAATCACAAACTATTTTCCCATTAAAAACATATTTTACACAGCATTTTGTTACATTTTTAGGAGAGCAAAGAACATCTTTACACTGTGCTGCATGCTGACAGACACCATCATGTCAAGCCACCATCAGATTGTAAAGCTGACATTCTTCTGTATCCAGTCATCAGTTTTCATTTGTATAGCATGAACAGATGCCACCCTTAGCAATCTAACACAAGTATGACAGGTTTAGCTGCAGTGACCCCAAGATTCAGTCTTATGGCTAGAGCTCAGATTAGACAACTGCTAAGA